TTCCAATGTCGTAAATCTGTATCTTCTCTCTATTTTTTCTCTGTCTGGCTTACTGCCATTGCGCACTTCTTCTGCTCTTTTAATTCACCGTTTTTTTCGTACTATTTCGGAGGCTGTTAACCTTTGTTTTTCTCTTTCGTTGCTGTTCTCACTGCTTCTCTTGGTATTTTTCTCTCTTTTTTTGTCATGTCATTCTCTATGATAGCACCACCCAGTAGCAAGTTTTTTTTTATGATTACCCTTATTGTATTACTTTGCAACTTTGCTACTACAATGCTTATATGTTTGTCCACTTTTTTCTTGACCACATATGCTTATTTAATCTTAACTGATACTTTTAACAGGTCCAGTAAAATTTTATTGCACTTTATTATTAAATTATTCTGATTAAACTTTTTACCCTTGATAACTGTAATATGCTTTCCTTGCTTTCTTTCTCTCTCGCTTTGTCCTCTTTGTCTGCTTTTTGTATTCTTCCAAATAATCTTGCTCTTTCCTGTATCAATTCTTTTTCTTTGTTTGCTCGGTTCTTTTTCTCTTTTTCGTGCTTCTTTTTACATGTAGTTCCTCTATTTTTTTCTTGGTTTTTAATCTCTTTTCGATCACTTTTCTCATTTCGTACTTTAACTTTGCAATTTGCTTTTCTAAATAAGCCTTACCTATTCCTGACTAAAAATTATAACTTTCGAGTGTCATCTTTACTTTGCTCCTTGTACTTATGTTACTTTTAAATTGCTGTTTTTCTTCTGAAAATTAGGCAATAGAGGGAGGGTCATCTCTCTCTTAGTAGTTTTGTTTGGTTACTGGCGATGACTAATACTGTTGTTTTTTTCTTACTACTCGTAATTAATGACTGAACTATGTGATTCGTGAGCAGGCTCCAACTAGCAATAACTGTGAGAAACAGGAAGCCTGAAAATAAAACTTTCTTTTCTTATTTCAAAAGAAAAAACTTACTACATTAAATAAAATGCACTGGCATAACATCAACCAAAAAAGTTACATTTTAAAATCTTGTTTATGCTCAAACTATGAGCTTCTACGTAAGAAGAAACGAAAGTCTAGCAACAGCCGCACTATATTGCATCTACAAGTGAGCTTCCAAGGCAGACTACCTACACAGCGACTGCTGGCCTTTTTCCTGGCACCCTATTAGCCAACTGCTTACGCGCTTGTAAGCTTACAATTGATATTTTTCAAATTTTACTTGCGTTAAATTTTTTTAAAATGAGAGCCAGACCCTGTGGCTTAATCTTTCAAATTGAATAAAAGAATAAAATAAATTTTTTTTAAATTACATAAACTTACATGAAATATTTTCTAAAACCTAGGTTTAGTTAACCACACATGCTTGTGTGGTTACAATAAATAGTTAAATTTGAACGAAATTAATACATTAATTTTGAACAACTTGAGTTTTAGTGAATATCTACAATTATATTATATCTTAGAATCACACGTCAGTATTGAAAATTTAAAGTATAACATTATAACGTGAAAACAACAGTCATAGGTATTGAATTTCTTCAAATATTGCGGGGTTGCTAAAACGTTGTCATGTGTTCGAAATATAGTGCAGGGGAGATGTTGAAGGGGTTGGGGTATCCGAAAATGTACTCAGAGCAGAATATTTAAGGAAAATAACTGAAAGTTTTTCGGTGTCAAGGTAACAGTATAATATACCTAATTTTCCTTTATTTTGTGGAAGGACAGCAGAGAGTCAAGGAGGGCTCTGAAAATTTTGTGGGGCTGGGGGAGGCCATAGAATGTCAGCGGGTTCTGAACATTATTTTATTGGGTTGAACCAAGATTGAATGCAGTTTTTATCTAAAGTTTTTATGTTAAACAAGAAATCGATGAACATTAAAAGTTTCTACTTGGTAACCTGATTATACTTTTTTTGATTTAATTGTAAATTTCATGACAGTTTAAAGTTATACGATATTATTTAAAATTTTTACAACTAAAAGAATGTAACCTGTGGTTAGGAATAAATATTTTTTTTTTTTAATGTTTGAGCACAACTATTTTTATTTTTTTTTTTAAACATCCTGAATAAATATACAAAAATAAACTTCTACAAATAAACAACTTTAAAATAGATGTAAAAATCAGAAAACAAAAGGTGAGTAGACATTTTTTTGTTTAATAAACAAGGAATACTAGAAAAGTAATAACTAAGAGTAAACTAGTAATAAAAATTAATAATGAACTTAGTTATTAGGGTTCGTCCATAAACTACGTGACTGTGTTTTGGTTATTTTTGACCTCCCCTCCACTCTCGTTACTAAACGTAGTATATATTTAGGACGCCCCTCCCCCCATAAAGTAATGTACACTCAAAAGTTTTGATCCGTTATTGTGACAACTAAATTATCATTTATTTTTTTAAATTTAATGTGATAGCCACCATTTTATGTATCGCTTACATATTTATAAGTAATATAAATAGTTATCAGAACTAAGTAAATAAGTATCTGAACAATAGTATTTTTAAAATTTGAAAATAAATTATAATAATTAAGTTCTTAGCTTCTACAAAACAACACAACTTTTTTTGGTGCCACGATGTATGCATGAATAACTAATTATGCGGTAACAAATTAATTTCTGTCTAATATGCAAGATACAGCGTTTTTAATGATTAGAATTAATCATTATAACATATTTGCGATTCCAGAAGGTCTGGAAGGTCTTTATCAGCTGATGCTACTCAGTAGCTAAGCGTTAAGCGCGTGAAATTTGAGATTAGAATTGATGGACGTACTTTCTAAAATAAAATATGTTAATGATTATAGAAATTCTAGAAAATGGTACAATACAAAATAAAGTATGAGAAAAATTGTATTAACGTATGATTTTTTAGTAATTTTTGACGCAAAATGTATACCATACTTAAAACAAATTCTGATACTAATGTCACTTTAAATGGTAGGACAGTATGGTACCTCTTTCGTTTTATAACACTCTAGTCGTTAAGGTAAGACTTAGTTTTAATAACAAAGATGAGAAATGCTAAGTAGAATAACTGCTCGGTAATGCAGTACCACAAATTTCTTGATCAAACAATAAAAAAAAATCAAACAAGATGCTTACAAGAACCCTTGATATTAAAGTGTTTTCTCGTGATTGTGAAAGGGGAAACAACAAATTTTATTATCACATTTTATTAACAACAAATTTGAGAACAGATTTTATTTTATTAAAAAAAGGTATCAGACCGAACGTGTTTAGAACACTAAGTTTTATCTGTGTAGATATTAGATTGCAATACTTTTTCTTCACTTGTAATGAATTCTGCAAGCACACTGTGACCACTAATTTTAAATTCTGACCAAATCTCAGCCAAAGTGTTTCCAGCGTTTTCAAATATTTTAATTCTAATTGCACATGTATAGTTTTTCCATTATTATCCAAGTAACTTATATACGTGTTATGCTGTAGAATGACACCCGATAAAGCTTTACTTTAAGGGGCCATTCGTTGATCCACGTGATTGAAAGCCAATCTTCCAAGAGCATTCATAAAAATAAAAATCACATTACAATTATTTTAAAAAGTTTTATTGTATGAGATATAACTTTTTCGTATCTAAGATTTTCGCCAGGACCACTGTCTTTTGACATCATTAATTTGGGCGTTATGCTTCTGTTTCATAGGTCAGTATAAATGTACGAATTTTGAAGATCGGCAAATGTTTAACAAAACGCGCGTCTTATTTTCTTCATCATCATATATCGCTAATAAAAAAGTAACTATCGGTGGCTAGCGAGACTTTTGGTTTTTTGCGCGTTAAACTTCACTTTCCTTGGGGTTTTGGAACAGAACGGACGTCTCACGATATTAGCAATCTAACCTAGAGCTTTGGACCGTTATATTTTTTCCTTCGACGTCTTATCGTCATCAACGAAAAAGTTTCCACCGTCTCCCAACGAGATCAAACGAGGGTGCTCACTACAGTTCAACATCGTCTCCCCGCGAGACTCAAATTATTTCGTGGCAACGAAAATGCGGTCCTGCCTGGCCAGCAGACCCGAGAAAGCCGAGCGCCAGCTCGCATAACCAGACTCTCCCCCTTGGGAAGCTTTCAAAGCTCACGACTTTAAGGTACATTTTCACCTCATGCAATATATTCATATTCACGAGAGCGATCGCTGCATCAGTTATTATTAACGATTGTATTACATTCTTGTATGTTAACACGAACAATAAAACAGGTTTTTTACCGAAAGGTTTTTTCCTGTAATAAATATCTTTTATTTACATCACTACTAACAACTCATAAAATAACCAATAAACAATAATAATGTTGAGAGCGACGCTTACCCCTAAGGTCTTACTCTCATTGCGACATAAAAATTGAAATTTAAATAGTCGCCCACGCTACATTTTTTGGTGCCTCCTGTGAGGTCTGAGCCACAACACGAGCTGAGGATATCGGTGTTCCGGTCACACTTCGTCGCGCACCACTGTGGCTCAACAATACCATCGCCTATCAGTCTCGCGGACTCGAGATATCCTGCGATCAACACCGTCATATTCACTTGCCAACGCCACGCCCCACGCCACTCCTTTCCTTCAGCGGTGGATCGCCTCGCTATCCTTCAGCACAGCTTCCAACAACGACCTTGATACAAGAGATAAGTCCTTTATCCCTATAAGCATATCCTTTCTCGCATTGCCATTTTTTCCTGTACTCTTGTGTCCGTCTGAAAATATTATTCGGTATCCTAACCTTGTGCCCTTACTAGTCATTTGTACATTACGTCACTCGCGTCGTTAGTGTTTTTAATAATATAACCCAGCGTTCAATAACTTTTGTTCGCGAAGATGGCTCAAGCAAAGCACGTCGCGCTTATTTTGCAAAAAAGGGGTTGCATTCAACGATCAGCTGCTAGAGACCAAAACCGCGCTTGATAACGAGTTGGTTTCCGCGAATGATGCTGCTCTACGTCTAGAGCTTTTAACAGATGCGTTGAGAAAATACGAAGACTATCATGATGAATTGGCATCATTGGAGCCAGATCACGATCGTCTTGGTGAGTTGGCGGGCTGGCGAGGAAGGTTTTTCCAGGTCGCCAGTCGGCTTAAGGCACTGCGGCCTCTTCCTTCGGTTGATTTTTCCTTTGCCGCGCTAGCTAATTCAACCTTTGCCAAAAAGCCTAAGCTTCCAAAGCTCCCGGTAACTGAGATACCTTTATTCAACGGAAATGTCGATGGCTGGCTTTCTTTTAAAAATACTTTCAAATCAATTATAAGTTCTCGCACAGATATTGACGATGTTACAAAATTGACTTATTTAAAAAGCGCAATGCGTAATGAAGCTCTCACTAAAATTGGTCCTTTATCTTTGTCAGCAGAAAATTACCCAAAGACTTGGAAGCTTCTTTCCGACTCTTACGAGAGAAAACGCGTACTAGTTTCCAAGCATCTGGATGCCCTGATCGACCTAACGCATTTACAAAAGGCTACTTCTGCCGGTCTATCGGCTCTAGCAGACACAGTAGAGCAGCATCTCACCGCTTTGGACGCGTTAAAAATTGATGGGAGGACGCGTCAAATTATTCAAGAAATTTAAAGGGCTCTCCCTGCTTCCACTCGCAATAGATGTGAGGAATCTTTGACCCACGATGAGCTTCCGGATTTAAAAAAGTTACTTGGGTATATTCGCGAATCAGCTTTCCTGGATTAGCGTCATAGAATCCACATCTAAAAATTCTGATCATGGGCAAAAGCGCGTTTTCGAGCAAACAAATTTTCATACGAGAAAATTCCAACGCAAAGAAGTGGACGCTCGCGATCTAACTACAAGCTTAAAAAGCTCTTGCGTTTGTTGCGGTTCCGAACATCTTCTTTTTAGATGCCCCTCCTTCAACAAACTCAATGTTAATCAACGATGGTCCCTCGTAAAAGAAAAAAGATTGTGCTTTAATTGTCTGCGTTCTCATGCAGGAGCTTGCTCCTCTAGCTCTTGTAAAAAATGTAACAAAAAACATCATACATCATTGCACAATGACTTTCAAACTAACGCGATGTCGAACGCAGTTACTACCTCGATCGCTCCCTCTAAAGATAAACTTCCCCCGAAGCGTAATGATTGACTAGCAGAGAAAGTGTTGAATACCAATGCGAGTGATGCACGATCTCAGCTCATGACTACTGCTGTGGTGTTCGTTTTAAATGCACAAAACAATTTTATTCGAGCTCGCGCGCTACTTGACACTTGTGCGACCGTAAATTTAATATCAACTAAATTAGCCAACTGTTTAAGTCTACCTTTAGAAAACTGTTCTGTAACGATAGGAGCGATAAATAAATTAAATACAGAGTGTCGTCAATGCGTAAAAATCAAAATTAAATCCGTTTATAATAATTTTTCTAAAAATCTTACATGTTTAATTATTCCGCAAATTTCTGGATTGGTGCCATCAGAAAAATTTCCTCGTGATTTAGTCAAGCTACTGAGTGGTATGCAACTTGCAGATCCACAATTTCACATGCCGCATTGTGTTGATTTATTAATCGGCTCGGGCATTACTCTATCTTTGTTTTCTATCGGACAAATAAAGCTTACTCCTAATCCGTGTGATATTTATGCGCATAAGTCGTTGCTAGGTTGGATTATCGCAGGAGGATTACATAACAAGTGTATTAAACAACTCTCAACTTGTAATTATACTGTTTTAAAAACCGATTATGTACAGAAAGAACAGCTTGAAGATCTATCCCGAATTATGGATAAATTCTGGGAGGTAGAAGATGTTCCTCGCAAAAAAGATGTGAAGAAAGCTGAGGAGTCTTTAATCGAAGCCCATTATATTCAAAATACGACTCGAGAAGCTAATGGGCGGTACGTAGTTAGTTTGCCTTTTCGCACGGGGGTGGAAGATTTAGGCAACTCAAAAACTACGGCTTTAAGGCAATTTTATTCACTCGAACGACGATTGAATTCAAATCCCGAACTTAAGACTGAATATTTTCGAGTAATGCAAGATTACATTGACCAGGGGCATATGTCGGTTGTTAAAAACGAAAGTGAGGTCAGTTATTTTATGCCGCAGCATCCGGTGTTCAAACCATCTAGCACAACTACCAAAGTACGAGCCGTATTCAACGCTTCAAGTAAAACTGATAAGAGGGATTCACTGAACGACGTGCTTATGGTAGGTCCGACAATTCAGGAAAAACTTTTTCATCATCTACTTAGATTTCGAACATACGTTTATGTTATTACAGCTGACATCACGCTAATGTATCGACAGATATTAGTAGACTCTCGCGATCGGAAATACCAATGTATATTTTGGTACAACAAGGACGGGCAGATTAAACCCTTTGAAATGAACACCGTAACTTTCGGTAACGCCTCCGCGGCTTTTTTATCTATTCGTACAGTGCAAAAATTATCAGACGATGAAGGCCAGAAATTTCCTTTGGCTCAATCAATTTTAAAGCATCATTTTTACGTTGATGACCTTATAACTGGTACAAATTCTTTGGAAGAAATACGCATGATACGTGAGCAAGTCACCGGTTTACTGGCTCTCGCTGGTTTTAATATCAGAAAATGGATTTCTAACGAAACTAATGCATTTAATAGCGAGGACAAAAAAGTTTTTCACGAGGATCAAAATCAAAATTCTACTTCGGACACAAAAACTCTTGGAATTGCTTGGAGCTCAAAATACGATGTGTTTATATTTTTAGTGAAACCGGTAAATTTTCTTCAAAAAATTACAAAGCGATTCATACTTTCATAAATCGCTAAAATTTTCGACCCGTTAGGATTATTAGGCCCAGTAGTGTTTGGAGCAAAAGTTATTATGCAAAAATGTTGGCACACGCAGATTGGTTGGGACGAATCAGTTCCCCATGAATTGCATACGTCATGGACTACTTTCGTTAATCAAATCGGGCTAATACAAAATTTTAGAGTCGAGCGAAAAATAGTTATCGATAAGTATGACCACGTAGATATCATCGGTTTCTGCGACGCTAGCAAATTAGGTAACGGCGTTTGTCTGTACGTCAGATCGGTAGATACGTCCGGAAAAGTCTTGGTTAGATTGGCATGCGCCAAATCACGCGTAGCACCTATTAAAGGTTCTTTTACCATCCCGCGTTTGGAACTCTGCGGCGCGCTACTCCTTGCAAGACTGTACAGAGAGAGCTGTGAAGCGTTTGAGTTTCCTATTCAAAGCGTCATTTTCTGGTGCGATTCTACCATCGTTCTTCACAAGCTTAGAAAATCGCCTCGGGATCTTAATGTTTTTGATGCTAATCGAATTGGGGAAATTCAAACACTTGTTGGCGGAGTAGAATGGCGGCACGTGCGATCGGCTGATAATCCTGCCGATGCTCTGTCTCGCGGTCAAACACCTTCAGAATTTTTGCGCAATTCGACCTGGCTTTCTGGTCCAAAATGGATCATTCAACACGAATCATTTTGGCCCGAGAGCGTTATTATTGCATCGCCTATTTCTCCTACACGTAGCATCTGTTTAACGACCATGACCCGTTGCGATTTGTTTTTAAGATTTTCCGACTTCTATCATTTAACCAGATTCGTGGCACGATGTCTGCGTTTTAAAAATTTAAATCGTAAGTTTCGCGGTAAGACTATCGATATGGAAGAAAAGCTCGGGGCAGAAAAAACAATTTTACGACTCACACAATCAGAGCGATTTTCAACGGAGAAAAATTTACTTAAAGAAGAGAAAGAATCACGTTTGAAGTATTTCAATCCTTTTATTGACCCAGACGATCTTTTACGTGTAGGTGAACGGTTGCGGAACTCCTCCGTCTCAGACGATCACAAATATCCGATACTCTTACCATCAAAACATCAAATAGTCGATCTGATCATTCGAACAATACACGCGTCAAACGGACATTTAGGTATCCAATCTACGTTGAGTTTTCTCAGACACAAATATTAGATCTTAGACGGAAAAAATCAGGTACGCAGGATAGTGCAGCGTTGCGTTACTTGTCTCCGTCATAAACCTAAATTAATTCAGGCCAAGATGGGCGATTTGCCTGAGTCTCGAGTCAACGCGGCACCGGCGTTCAGCAAAGTCGGCACTGATTTTTTCGGTCCAGTCTTTATAAAAGAGAAAAAACATCGAAATAGCAGTAAAGTAAAGGCCTACGGTTGTGTATTTATTTGTATGAGCTCCAAAGCCGTACATATTGAAATCATTACCGATCTCACAACCGAAGGGTTTCTCGGCGGTTTGAGACGTTTTATAGCCCGTCGAGGAACCTCCTTCCCACGTCTACTCCGACAACGGAACAAACTACGTCGGAGCAAACAACCAATTAAAAAGTCTCTATGATTTTTTGAAATATGAAGCTTTGAAACGTAATATTCATGACTACGCAGTTCAAAAAAACATTATCTGGCATTTTATTCCCCTTTTGTCCCCTTATTTCGGTGGGATTTGGGAATCGACGGTAAAACTTTTTAAACATCTTTTAAATCGTGTCATTGGTAATAAATTATTAACGTATGAGGAATACAACACCTTAGCGGCCGAAATCGAAGGTATTTTGAATTCTCGGCCCATTTGTACACTATCTTCAGATCCCAACGATCCTTTAGCACTTACTCCTGCACATTTATTAATAGGGAGACCCATTTCCCTATTGCCTACTAATGATTTCGACGGCATTTCAGATAATCGTTCGTCCTCTTGGAATTTCATATCCAGAGCTAGAGAGGATTTTTAGAAAGGATGGCATATTGAATATTTGAGCGAGCTTCAGAAGAGACAAAAGTGGCAGGAAGAAAAGAGAAAAATTAAGATGGACTCCGTCGTCCTTTTAATGGAAAAAAACATTCCTTGCGCTAATTGGAGGCTGGGCGTAGTCGTTGGGGTTCACCCTGGAGAGGATGGCGTGGTGCGAATGGCTTCAGTGAAAACGATTAACGGCATATACAAGCGAAATATTACGCACCTTTGTCCTTTGCCAGAAGAAGAAAGTAGCGTTCCATAAAGAAATTGTTTTTCATTCAACTTCTTTTTCAAAATTCTCTGTAATAAGAACATTCATTAATTAATGCAACACTGCGTAAATTTGTTATTCGCGTTTTTTTTGCACTTTTAACATTCATATGCTATGTTCTTTCCTAAATTTGTAATTATTCAATGAATTGTAATTAGAGTCTGTATTATTACCAAGAAATCTTGTGCTCATGTTTGTTTAATTTTAAGCATGCTTAACAGACATTTACATTTACCCAAATCAATATTACACAACACTTTGCTCATCCTATTGTTTCGCAAACGCGGGGGAGTATGTTTCATAGGTCAGTATAAGTGTTCGAATTTTGAAGATCGGCAAATGTTTAACAAAACGCGCGTCTTATTTTCTTTATCATCATATATCGCTAATAAAAAAGTAACTATCGGTGGCTAGCGAGACTTTTGGTTTTTTGCGCGTTAAACTTCACTTTCCTTGGGGTTTTGGAACAGAACGGACGTCTCACGATATTAGCAATCTAACCTAGAGCTTTGGACCGTTATATTTTTTCCTTCGACGTCTTATCGTCATCAACGAAAAAGTTTCCACCGTCTCCCAACGAGATCAAACGAGGGTGCTCACTACACTTCAACATCGTCTCCCCACGAGACTCAAATTATTTCGTGGCAACGAAAATGCGGTCCTGCCTGGCCAGCAGACCCGAGAAAGCCGAGCGCCAGCTCGCATAACCAGACTCTCCCCCTTGGGAAGCTTTCAAAGCTCACGACTTTAAGGTACATTTTCACCTCATGCAATATATTCATATTTACATACATACTTACAAGAGCGATCGCTGCATCGGTTATTATTAACGATTGTATTACATTCTTGTATGTTAACACGAACAATAAAACAGGTTTTTTACCGAAAGGTTTTTTCCTGTAATAAATATCTTTTATTTACATCACTACTAACAACTCATAAAATAACCAATAAACAATAATAATGTTGAGAGCGACGCTTACCCCTAAGGTCTTACTCTCATTGCGACATAAAAATTGAAATTTAAATAGTCGCCCACGCTACATTTTTTGGTGCCTCCTGTGAGGTCTGAGCCACAACACGAGCTGAGGATATCGGTGTTCCGGTGTCTCCATCANTAATAATGTTGAGAGCGACGCTTACCCCTAAGGTCTTACTCTCATTGCGACATAAAAATTGAAATTTAAATAGTCGCCCACGCTACATTTTTTGGTGCCTCCTGTGAGGTCTGAGCCACAACACGAGCTGAGGATATCGGTGTTCCGGTGTTTCCATCCTTATTAAAGTCCATAAATTTATGAAAATCCGTAGAATGTGTAGATGTAGTAGAGCTACTGTGTTTTCCACTACGAATCGCGATGTATGTTGACCTAGAGTGGGTAACGACTTCCTTTTTTCTATGGAATTATTGTTTATGATAAGTCCAACACATACCGGAGGTGTCAATTTGTGACCGCTTGCGACCATCTAGTTGTGATCTTGTCATCTTGGGAAATTATAATGACTTGTATAAAGTACATATTGTGAAGTAAATAATACGTTTGAAAAAAATTCGAGATCTAATGTAGTGTTTTATGTATTTACAAAAAAAATCGTCCAACAGTACCTAATGAGATCCACGAATTGAGGCGATTTCTTCAAGAGCATTAATTGCAGCTTTGCAAAAGTGCTGATCTTGATGATCGTGCAGGTTACTTTGAGCTTGATGAGGTTCCACGGGGACTATGACAACATGTTTCTTACCTTCTAATAATTATGGATGACGTAACAACAGTCTTAAATACATGGAAGAACGCGATAGATGACAGTCAATCAATGAAAGTTCTTTGGTCAAGTCATTAAAGTTTTACAAGCTTTTATAGTTCCAGAAAGAAGTCTATCATCAGCTAAATCCAAGGGTGACGCCTTGTCACAAACAGCTTGTAATAATCTTCTATGGTTTTTTCTGATCTTGGACGACCTGCTTCTTCTCAAATTTTCAAATTGATCGTGGATTAAGGAATTAATCTTATTTTTTTTGACGCTGCTCTTGTTTTTGCCGAATCGCTCGAGCCTCCTTATTTTTAAATTATTTCTTTGCATTCTCTACATCTTTCCTCAACGTTTATAATATATTTCAACGTAATCATCAGCATATCTGATATCTTGATTTGTAACTGAATAATTTAATTCCGATTATAACACTCTTAATTTTTCATTTAATTTATCTTGTTTTAGTTAAGGATGAGAAGATGGAGCACGACCAATGGATCTAATGTCGTTCAATTCAGTGGTAATATTAACATTTTTTTCATGTTCACAGCACCCCTTCCAAATGCGATAAAATTGTTTTCATTTTAATGTAAAATAAAGCCAATAAAATTTTTGATTACCCTCCCGCCCCTCAGCACCCTCACTCTCTTGGCCCCTCTCAGCCTTCCTCACCACCCCTTAACTTTTTCGTATGTTTGATCCCCCCCCCTCATTGTCTTTCCAAACTCTCCTTGCCCACCTTAATTTTTTTTTATAGATCGTTAACATTTTCTTCATCACCTTGTAAGATTCATTTAGTACAATCTTTGTCAATGGTGCCTCGTTATATTAATTTAACTTGGTATATTATTATCTATTTCTCCACACCACCTATGAAGCAAACGGGTGGGATCGTTGATCTTTTTTTTGTTTTTATTATGTAGATGTGTGTATGACATGATATACGTACGTGTAATTATAAAATTGTTTATTGTGGTAAAATAATGACAACAGTGGAGATCATTGGTAATTAGTCTTTTTGAGAAACTATAAAAATATGCCTTATACCAGAAATAACATTTATAATATAATGTATAGATCAAAAGTACTCCATAAATAAATATTTCAACATAAGACAACAAAGTCATTTGTAAGAATTTTGTTAGTATAATGTAATAAAACTATTTTTTTTTTTAATTTTCAGAAAGTAGAAAGCTTTTTAAACAATTTTTACATTATTTTAAGTGTCTTTTTATTTTTCCAAGTACATGATAGTAATAATAATATGTTAATAAGAATTAAATATTTTTAAATGTATAATACAGTGAAACGTGTCAGGGACTCAACATAACTCTCCACTGCCCTCACCACCTCCCAACAGATCCCCCGACGTCCTCCCATAGTTCAACCACCAGCCCACGACAAATTAAAGGTAAATTCGTTTTATTTTAACGTTATTTTCACCTAATAAATATAAAATCAAGATCCCCCCCCCCCCTGACCCACTACACTATTTTACTTGCCTTCTCATCGCCATCGGATAAAACGGATGGATAATTAACAAGCCCGAACTAAAGGTGTATACTAAAGATAGTTTTAGTAACAATACAGGGGCGCTTTCTGTAATGTAAATCATTAGTAAAAGTGTTTTTGTAATGTAAAATATTGAGCGACAAGAAATTAAGAATTTTAGCTTTTTACTTTATTATTTTAGGACAATCAGTTAACTTAAGTGTAAATTTGCCCATATATTTTTGGACCTACAGAAAAATTAGTTCATAAAAAAAACAACAAATTTGTTGAATGTAGTGTATGCAATATAAATATATAAAAACATTACGTACTCCACGCAAGAGAGCATACGTACAGTACAATTATACGTTGGCTCATCTGTGACCGAAAATTTAGAAGAGAAATGGATTCATGGCGTTCTTTACATGTATACATAACCCAAAGCACAATGAAATTTAGTAAATATTGTGAAAAAATTTTCAAGAAAAGATGCATTACGAAGAAATTATAATAGAGGTCAGAAAAGAGTAAATAAAAAATTTCAATACCATGTAAATAATTATTAACCAGTATAGAATTGTTTATTACGAAATTTTTTTACTTTTTTTAACGCAAGATTAAATGTCACTGTGTACGCATATTTATACACATCAAAATATCAATGTTAACTCAAAAGGACAATAAATAAAAAATAAAACAGATAAACAACAATGTCCATTGTAAAAATATCTTAAGTACCATGATGTTACTGTTTTTCTTATTAAGTTAAATAATTGCATTTTGTTTAGTTCTATTATTAACCGTTGCTTATTTTTATACATAGACCAACTAAAACTGATTTTTTTATAACCACTATATTATATTTATGTGAAAGGTCTTTATTATATTTCTGTTATTATTATTATTATTATTACTATTACTGATGCAATTTGTGATTTACAATTGAGAAAAAACTTTTTCAGTGAAGACCTTTCACCTGCTACCTTAAAGCCTATGCGAAGGAGTATTCGCTATGCGCCTATGTCAGGTGGCACCGTCGAGTGAGAGAAATTCACCCTCACTAAGATCGCCAGAATGCATGGAGCCTTATAGGAAAATTTTTTAATAAATTTGAAAAAAGGTTATTAAGAGTGAATTGCCCAAATGAATCAGTGATTTCAGTGTGTATTATGTTAGTGTACAGTAATGAATTTTATTTAATGTTATTACGTGTACTACAAGATTGGAAAAAATAAAAACATAGATTGCGACTATGATAAAATAGCATATTTAAGTGCATACACATGCTTACACTTGTGTACAGCTTAAAGAACACAAGTAATCCACGAAAACGTACTATAAATGTGTAAAAGTTAACCTAATCTGACATTGGTATTTACTTTCATTGAACACTGTGTTGTGAGAAATGAATAAATGTAAGCAGAACTTATGTTTTTCAAGCTCTACACAAGTACAAGCATGTATATGCACTCATGTATACTGGGTTATCACAGTAGCAATTCATGTTTTTATTTTTTCTAATCTTGTAGTACACATTACGACACTAAACTAAATTTATTACTGTACACTGACATAATACACACTTATATCACTGATTCATTTGGTCAATCCACTCTTCATAACCTTTTTTTAAATTTATTAAAAAAATTTATTGTAANTGGAAAATTCGTTTATGTAAAACGGAAACGAGTGCGGTTGTAAGAAAACTTGAGATAAATTTTTTACTTTCTAAATTAAATTTTTGAAAAATGAAAAAATATTTTTTTAAAAGGTATCTTTGAAAAAACTAGCTTTAAGATATTCAATAAATGAATACATTAAGGGAAGTGAAGTATGAAAGAATAAGCTGCAAGATGCATAATCTCATGCCCAATGAGTCAGTTTGTAAAGCCATGTTACACTTTGTCCTTCGTTACCCTTCACGTTCGAAACTATAAGATAATTTTAGATTAAGTATGTTAAGTTAAGAAAAAAATTGTACAGTATTAATTGTATGTAATTCAATTAAGGTTTTTTTTTAATGCAAAGCTGATTAAATTTAATCCATCAATATACAAATTGAAAATGGATTTTTACATTTCCTGCACATCCATATCCAATATTTTTTTTCACTGTACCATCATTTGTTACACGCACTATACCCTACAGTTGTACTTTTCTTTTTTTTTTATTAATTATTTAAAATAAGTAGTACTGATTGAAAAAATTGAATTAATCACTGTGTATATGTATAGTAGTCTTAATTTTATATCATGTTTTTATTTTATGTAAGTTTCTTCCGACACATAATAAAGAAAATATTTATTAAAAAAATAAGGCTCCATGCATTCTGGCGATCTTAGAGAGGGATAATTTATCTCACTAGACGGCACCACCTGACATAGGCGCATAGAGAATAACGCATTAACAGAGGGTTGGCACGAGAAGCGCGCACAAGGGCAGATCCCTACTAGTATAATATTTAAAAAGCCAATTAGCCCTATAAACCACAGAAAGACAGCAGCAGAGAATGAAAACAATCAATGACAAACTCAATTAACCTATGATTAAAAATTTTCGCTTGACACAATATTTTTTAGTCCAACGTCTAGTTCATTTTCAATTTACACGAAAATACTATCCTTAGTAATGCATCTTAATAAGGCAATATATAATTGACTATGTGAAAACGAGAGTTTTTTAAAATATAGTCTTACAATATCAAAAGTTTAATCTTGTAATTTATTTATAATCATTGCGAAAGCGAAAACTAAGAGAAATTTCTTTCTGTATAAAATGCATAGTAATACAAGTGTATTTTCAGTATTTAAAGTGATTTTTAGTATAAAAACTATTTGTCCAATTGTTTCACTAAATATTATTTCTGCCTCAATATAGAACTTTATTAACTTCGTTATTTTCAACCTCGTGCCATTACATACGCCATCCGAAGTAACTCTTTTTATAAACATAACAGCTGCCCTAATTATTCAATCGAGTTCATACGGTGGTAAACCCTTACCTATATAATTAAGTATTTTTATCTGAAAATCGATAGATATTATTGCCGGATTAGTCAACTCCTTTTAATGTCACTTTATCAATACTGTAATATGTCTTTATTTTACCGTTTATCTTATTTAAAACTTTATAGCATTTCTTTCTCCCCCCCCCCCTCAGCCCACCTTTGCCACCTCTCAATTTGTTCTTGCGCTAGATCGCTTCTCCGTTTTATTCTTTTTCCACGCTATCCTTGAGCGATTCGAACATTTTTTTTACAAAAACCAATTTTCTCTGAGTTTTCTGTTTTTTGTACAAAATCAATATCTTTACTCGTAGGTGAATAAAACGATTCCCAAATTTGTCCTCCATTGCAAGAATTTGGGTTGTGTGCAATAGAGAAAAATTTTTTTGATTAAAAATTAAATCTCCTGTAAAATGGATTTTCCGTTTATTAAAAATATTTCCAGCAATAAAAATTTTTCTGAAAATAAGAACCATGCTATAAATTATCTCACTTTATAAGGTAACATGATAGTAGTAGCTTCTTTGAATATATCGTCAATTTGAGTGTCATATTCCATCGATCCTATTGCTACAGAAGTATCTTTAGATGTTTTGTGAATGATTTAATAATGTATTTTAAAATCTTTTAATGATCACAACTTTTCTTTTGTTCAATAATAACTTTAAACAGAATCATTTGTTACCGTTTAGAGGAACAATATTAATCCTTTTAACAGTAGCGTTTAATGAAATAAATTAAATTAATGCGATCTTCAAAATAAATTAAAGTCTTCTGGGGGGGGGGGGGGTTGGCACATAGAGCGAGTAGGGGGCGAAGCCCACTAATGCGCATGTGTGTATGTGTGTGTGTTTGTATGTATGTGTGTGTTATAAATGTTATGTTTACATACGAAAAAAATACAAAAAAAATTAGTTATAGAAACAAATTGTATAGAGAATTTGACATCTACAAAATATCTACTCTTAACAACTGAAATACTTTTGTATCTTCATTGTTATTGGATTC